TCGTAATTCGCCGCACCGCCACGCGCGGCGATGGGCGCGGCGTTTTCATAACTCGTTTTAACCTGTCGAATGGAGCACCGGACTTCATGTAGACCCCGTCATCGTAGACAGTCATTACTGTTTTCGGTCCTTAATTGCATTTTGTCGCCATCTACTACCTGGAACCATCGTCCTTTGCAGACTAGACGTCGCACGCGACGCCCAGCAGCGCGGCGAATTACGATCCTCTTGTCACATACCCATGCCCTTGAGTAAGCAGCGAGAATGACAATAATATATAATACCTTTATTATGTATATGAGATGAACCTACGTCTTGATTGCGAGGAAGGGCGAGTAAATGGACGTCTTACTCGGGACGTTGAACGGGAGGTAGCAAGCAGCTAGTGTATTCTAGGGAATATAGCAGACTGCGGACCATCATATCATGGGTCCGCCTCATGGCAGTACTTAAGGACCCACGCTGAGAGAGGTTCTAGCCCCAGAGACGACTATACGACTATCCTCACGTCCTTACAAAAAAGCTACCCATGAGCGGCAAGACCTTTGTTGTCATTAAGACCAAAAATAATGACCCACGTATGTAGAGGGAGATTAATAGAGGAATCTCGTTGAAAAGTGGACTTGGTCCATGACGAGCACTGTAGTTGCTATATGTCGCGTGATTATCATGTATATTATGTGATAATTCCTTCAGTTAAAGAACTAAGCCCATGGGTCGAGTAATAAGGCGCTCATTATCGCGAATACAAATATCAGCCCCGAAACTCCATCGCTCCTGATTTAATTTTGCGCCTGATAGTAATAATGAATTGATGACCACTAGGTCATTGTTTCGTCATCTTTGTATCGCTGAAAGCACCGAAGTAGTTGAGTTTCTCGAAAAGAACCAATCGTCTCGTTTGAGGCTAAGGGAACGACACGAACCAGCTGGTTGTGAAATACTTTCCAGCGTATGTCTAAATCTCTTTTAATAGTCCTTATAGAAGTTTTTATGTGATTCAACGACGAT